ATCTAGTTTTTTGTGTGAATACTTTTTGTCATTTCTCTTAACTCATTCGAACCGTCAAACTGTCAGCTTTAACACGACGTATCGCCTTTTTTTAATTTTGTTTTCTCACTGATAAACTTCATTTTTCTAGATCAGAAGGGAAAAAATCGAAATTCTGCCCATAATTCTCATTTTTCCCCATGACAGCTTACTGTTTATGCAATAAAAGTATCATATCCAGAATCAGTCTTAACTGAGTCGAATGATGTAATCTTCCATCCTATCCAATAATGTTCTCCTTCTACGAATATTCAGGCCGAAAGATTACTGGGGTTTTCACCCAAAACTGAAAATCAACGAAACATTTTGAAATATATATCATTCGACTCAGTTAAGACTGATTCTAGATATGATACTTTTATTGCATAAACAGTAAGCTGTCGTGGGGAAAAATGAGAATTATGGGCAGAATTTCGGTTTTTTCCCTTCTGATCTAGGAAAATGAATTTTGTCAGTGAGAAAACAAAATTAAAAAAAAGCGATACGTCGTGTTAAAGCTGACAGTTTGACGGTTCGAATGAGTTAAGAGAAATGACAAAAAGTATTCACACAAAAAACTAGATAGGTTTGCAAACTGGCCTACTGTCGTTGTGGAGGATCAGTTGCAGACTGAATCCGTTTTTAGGTTTGAGGTCAATCAAACATTTTCTTTATACTCAGTTTTCAACGCCGAATTCAAAAATGTTAGTTTCAAAACCGGAAAGTAGAGAGAAAATGCAAAAAATTTGAATTTTTCGAAACGGTAACGATTTCGAGTAAAATCGGTCCTTCAAAACTTTCTTCCTCAAAACAAGTTTTTCAAACATTAAAACTAACTTTTCTTTAGTCAGTTCGGTGTCCTCTATGCAACCATATATAAATATATCAAAAAGAAAAAGTTAATGAAACTTCGAATTGCGAGCGTCTTACTACACATGCATCGAGAAAACAAAATAGATGTACATGTTTGATTCAGATTCATGTTACCAAACATCATCACTGGGTGAAAGTAAATTTGATAAGGAAACTAGAAAAGATCCGATGGGTTTCATCAAGCAGACACAGTATCGAATCATAAGGACTTATCCAGGCGGGATACGCCAAAATTCAAGTAACTATAATCCAATGCAAATGTGGATTTTCGGAGTACACATGGGTAAGAGCTCACTTACAATATTAAAAGAACAAAACAAATTCGTTCAAATACCCGCTTTATAGACCGCTTATAATTTTTATCAGAGGTTAGTACGTCACCCTCCTCTCCATTAAAAATGCTCACTGAGTGTTGAGTGGTGAGTAGCAGCCATAGCTTTCGCTTGAATTTTTTGGAGACTGAAGTTTATTTGAAATCTCGTTCCTTATTTCCTCTCACATTAGCTGGTGAAGCATAGACTACTATCACAGGCCACATTTTGGAACTGAATTCCATTCGTCTTAACACTTTTGATTTCTTGTATGATTGATTTCAGCTGCGATGAATTATCAGACGTATGATGAACACATGCTATTGAATTATGGGCTATTTCTAGACAACGGAGGATGCGGTTATGTTTTGAAACCAGATTTTCTCAATAATCGTGAGTAACATACGTTTAGAGTAAAGATATCAGGGACAGACACACGTATTTCGTAGAATCCAAAGAAGTCTTACTCCAATTACTCTGTACACAGGAAAGCATAAGTCAATCTGGTTTTAGCTGATAGTGAATTCAATCCATTTTCATATGATGTCGATAATCGACGAACCACAACGTTATCTTCTATTGACGATGCATCGTGTCATTTAACGTTAACAATAGTAAGCGCACAATATTTAGTAAATACAGACATTAAAGATTTAGTTGATCCGTATGTACGCGTTTACATACATGGTGTTCCTTGCGATAACCAAAATCAGAAGACACATGTTATTAAGGATAATGGTATGCCGGTATACAATTTTTTACGTTTACGTCGATATTGTGGCTTCTGTTTGCTTGAAGGTCTTAATCCCATGTGGAATCATCGGATGGAATTTGATATTGCTGTACCACAATTATGTCTGATTCGATTTGTTGTTCTCGACAGTGACAAATATAGTTCGGATGATATTATTGGACAGTATTGTGTACCTTTGACCACAATTCAAAAAGGTAGTCTAAACACTGGAGGAGTTAATGAATCACAGCTTGGTGGTGTACATGCTGTATTCCACGTTATACGTCAAGGAGATGCATAGAACAGATGGAGGAGTTCAGTCTAACTGAATAGGGAGAAGAACAGAGATCGGGGTAAAAGAAAGATATTCTTTGTATAGATCACCTTAACGGATGTAGTCTCCTTTAGGCTACCGTCATGTTCGTTTACGTGAGAAAGATGATGATTTCTCCTATTCAACATTATTTGTTCATGTTGATATTCAATCCCAACATAACAAAAATGTTTCTGTTACTTGGTTTTAATCTGGTACTCATTCAGTTTTTTTCTTCTCTTATTCTAGCTTAGATTATTATGTAATCTCATTATCTTTTATAATTTTAGACTTTCAGGAACGCTGTCTTTGCACATCTTATCTGTAATATAAATGAATTTTAGAGAAAAGTTTTCCGAAAACAAATAAAAGATTATAGAGCTTCCTAAAATTGTCATACCCTAACCATCCAATAAGTCAAACGACAGATAAATTTCAACCGTTCTACCGGTTACTAGAATCCTTCTCTCTGTTACAAGGCCCGAATCCGATGAAGAAGGAAGTGTACCAACTGAATTCTAGTTTTGTGGAAATATATCTGAGTTTGTAGTGTTCATTACGCTAATTAAGAACATGACAATCTTATTTCTTCATACGGCTTCGATCAAAAAAAAAAAAGTTATAAGAACGATCTCTGGTAGTGACGATTGTAATATCATATCATTTCTGCCAATCCTTACCTCCCACTGATACCCAAACAACCTGATTATTATATTCGCTTCGTCCAAAATTTTAATTCTAGAATTCTATACCATTCACCTTCTTTACATACTGACGAGAGAACTACCCCACCTCTCTCATCCTCCTAATGCCTTAAGCCGTGAAACTTTTCATACCACCGGCCCTATAAGCGAGGGTGCCGATGAATCCATGCCAGTAATTCTCGATTTTCTCCACTAGAACTTACTTTTTAGGCAATAAAAGTACCATATTCGAAGCCAGCATCAGAAACCGAGTCGAATGATGTATGTTTTGAAAATTTTCGTCGATTTTAGTTTTTGGTGAAAATCTCAGTAGTTTTACGACGTGAAACTTTGACAAAACCAAAGTTGTCGGATAGGATAAAAAGGTACGTCATTCGACTCGGTTTTCGATGCTGACTTCGAATATGATACTTTTATTGCATAAAAGGTGAATTCTGATGGAAAAAATTCAGAATTACGGGCACAATTCCGAGTTTTTCTCTCCATTTCTGAGAAGCTTCGCTTTTTCTAAATCAGGAGCACAGTGGGCAATTTTCACGTGGACTTTTGGCCTGCAAGCTAGAGGAAAATTTAAAAGCGCGTTTTCTATAGGTTATCTTGTGTGCTCTATCTAATCGAGTGCTTTTCGA